AGGCCATGGAAAACCACACCCTGCACCCTAAACCATACCCTACCTATGGGCCCAAAAAACTACCGTTCTGAGGATAGATAGATAGATAGATAGATATAGATATATATATATATACATGGAAACCATAATATGGAACCCAAAAGAAAATGTTTTTCGGCCACAGGTACCTTGTAAGCCCTGGAACACAACCCTAAACCCCAAACCCCTAAAAGAACACAGCCCCCATTTGCTTCGCAGGCGTGGCTCGAATTCCAGCCGCTGTCGTACTCTGCGATTACTGCTTGACGACTCCGGGCCGGCCCTTTGAAGGACCAAAAAGAGAGGCTTAGGTTTAGATCATTTTGGGGTTTAATTATGGTTTAGGGTTAGGGTTTAGGGCGCTTGTGGGTTCTGGGGCTTACGGTTTGAGGTTTTGGGGGATCTCTTTTGGGGTTTACGGTTAGAGTCTGTGAATGGTTTAGGGACCTTTCAAGAGACCTTTTGTTAGGCCTTTTTTGGTTTCTGCACAGGGTTTCTAGCCAGGATCCCCAAAAAACCTAGGAATATATCAGGGCTCCCGCTTTGTTGTTAATCAGTTCTTTAAGGAACGTAAGACCACAAAAAATAAAAAGGGGGCACTGGGAGACCTAGATGGGATGTTGCACACCATTCTCGGACCCACAGCTCTTCCTTTAGCGTAGTGGCACCTACCAGTAAGCCTTAAGCCCTACCTAAACGCTTAACACCGTAGGGTTCTTGCGGGATTCTTCTGGGTGTTTAAAGGGTTTCTAGGCCGGCCCCTATTGGAGCTTGGGGTTTAGGATGTCGAGCTTAGGGCTTAGGTCATCGCGCTTTTTCCAAGCCTACAAAGGCATTAAGACAACTCCATAGAAACACTGAAGGTTGCAAAATGCAAGCACATTTAAGGGTATAGGTTTATTCGCTATTCAGACCCTTAAACATCGTACGATGCACAGCGACGTGAGCAATTTCAGCATCGCGTGTAGGGTGCATGGGTCATGGGGTACTGGGCTGGAGGTTGAAGGGCTTCGGATTAAGGGTTGGGGGGGGGGGGGGTTGGCCCTAGGCCTTGAGGTACCAGATGAAAAACATCGGGGCTCGACAGGAACTGATATAACCAGGTGTTGCAGGTGCTTGGGGTTAGTTGAACTTGGAAAAAATCATGAACCCCAATACATCCTAACACTCCCTAATTCTAAACATTGAAGTTGGAAATTAATGAGACCTAATGCTCCCGAGTTCTAAACATTGAAGCTTATAAAGGTTTGGGTTTACGCTTCAGGCCTCGTCGTTCAACTTGTGTCGTACTGGGGGTGAGACGTATCGGAGGGTTTCTACAAGGTGTTGTAGAGTCTCTATAGGTTTCATAGGGCTTTACACACAGGCCATACTGAGCAACGTGGGGTCTGGGGGTGTACTTATATAGAAACGAGAGACGAGAAATAATCCTAAACCCAAAACCCTAACTAAATGTTCGACCGATGAACTTGAGCACATGGTGTTCAGGGGATTTGGTCCTCAAGTTGCTATACAATGCCACTGTACAAAGGGTGTCAGTGTAAAAGGCTGACGACGGGCTGATACAAAAGTAGAAGATTGCACGCCGTGCGAACACAAATGTAGGGGCCTGGACAATTACAATTAGACTGAGATCCATGGGAAGGCTGCCTCAGATGCTTGTACGGCTCTAGGAAGACAATGCTAATTATCCCGGCCCCTACATAATCAAATGACGGAAAGCTTCCTGCACCAAAAGCAAGGCAGGCTGGCTGCACATGACTGCCCAGCATGCTAAAGCAGGGCTGGGTATGGCCGTCATCAGATTGCGAGTGGTAAACACAACTGCCAATGCATGGTGGCCCGGTCCGGTCCGAAACTCTAAATCTTGGGGCTGGCTAGGGTTAACGGAAGGCTTACGGAGATTGGCGCTATGTCTGATTCCAAAGCCTGTTCATGCTGACCCTTGAACTCATTTTTGGACTCCTGAGCAAGGCCCCTGAGACGGCTTGTACCAAAACTCTACAGGGTGCTAGCAGGCCCCTCTATATTGGGTTTCTATCTATCTATCTATCTATATATATATATATAAGATATAAATATAAGGGGCTTGTAGGCGTCTCGGGGCCTAGGTTTCACTGAAGCCACAACCTGTGGCAGTGAGGTGCTGAACCTATGCGGCTTAGCCGGTTCAACTTACTTGGCGGAGGCCCATTCTCCCCTCTTGAAACCATTAAGCCCGAAGTCAAGAACCTTAAAACCCCAAGGTTCGAGTTGTTTTTGAGGTTTAGGGTTCCCATACCAATCCCTACAAAAGCAAACCGCTGGAGCAAACAAAAACAAGCACCAGGTCCGCCCCAAAACTTGCCACATGAGGCCTGGTTTCAATGAGGTCTGTATGATACGAGTACGAGATTGGTGTCCTGGTCTCACCCTCCCTCGCAAGCGACTCCCAGTCTGGGAAAAATTGTGTACGGTTTGGGGTGATAGGGTTCAGGACCTTGCAGGGTCAGAAGACTGAACGCCTAGGTTCTCTCCAGTCTTTAAGTTTATGTCCGATTCTTGTGCTAACTCTAGTTAGATCGCAAAGGGCCCAAAATAGGATAAAGATAAGAAAAACGTAGGAATTGTGGGTTTTTGGGAAATAGGAATAAAATAGGAAAAACATAGGAGAAAACTAGGAACCCCGCCGGCCCTGTCTTCCCGCGCTCCTTTCTGCCTTGTGGGCCTGTGCTTTTCATATGTTTTCCTTGCGTTTTCCCTCCATTTCCCATAGTTTCGCTATGTTATTCCCATTTTCTCCTATTTTAGCCATATTTTATTCCTATTTTTTGCCTATGTTATTCCTATTTTTCCTCGTTTATTCCTGTTTTCCTACCATTTTATTCCTATGTTTCTACTATTTTTCTCATTTCTTCTCTATTTTTATGCCTATGTTTCTCCTGTTGTTCCTATTTCCCCTATTTTTCGTATTCAGTGCAAACCTGGAATTCCTATATTTTTTCCTATTTTTCTCCTAAATTGTGGTTTAGAGGTTTTCCAGGATTAGCACTATTGAGTCGGATATAACGTTAAGTAGGAACACAACTCTAGCAATGGAATCTCCTCGCCCCTAGCGACCAAAGAAACACACGATGCATCCCACCCCCGATCACCGAAACCGAAACCCTGGACCCTAAAACCCACAAAAAGCAAGGTCCTTACCAGAATTGCAGACCAAGGCTGATCACCACAGGCAAGAAAGCTGCTGCATGTACAGAGAGCGCGGAGAACGCCCATGCACCAGCACCACATGCAGTGTGATTCAGGGGTTCGCGAAAAATCCTAAAACCGCAAACCCTAAACCCGAAACCCAAAATCCTAAACCGTAAACCCTAAACTCTAAAATCCCTAAACCCTAAATCCCTAAACCCTAAACCCTAAACCCTAAATCCCTAAACCCTAAACCCCTAAACCCTAAACCCTAGATCTCTAAATCCCTAAAACCCTAAACCATCGGAGGAGGGAGGCTCTTGCTGAGACCCCCGAGCCTGAAGCGAGGATGTCTCCTACAAGCCTGTCCTTTGGGGCCCACAACGAAAAACATGCAATCTCCCAAAATCCTTCCGGTTTATAGGTAGGGTTTGAAGTTCAGGGTTTAGGGTTTATCTTAGAAAGTGAATCACATTTCCAAGCGGTCGCCTGACTTTCAGAAAGTCCCACCTGGGTCGCCGAAATAAACGGAGCCGCATTGAAAGGCATTCTCTACGGGGCTCCCGGAGACTTTACAAGGGAAGAGGAGCTTCCCAGATCTTCCCCCTCGATGCGATGTTATACCAAGAACATAATCCATTAATCTTGGGGGCTGAGCACCCTAGCCCAAAAAAGGTTAACCTTTTTAATTATAGTAGGATTATAGAAGCCCAAAAATTAACCTTAAACCATAAGCCCCAAACCATAAACCCGATTTCTTGCCAAGCATCTTCCTTCGGGGCTTTTGATGTGCTTTACCTACTTGTCCAGTGTCATAAGAAGGAATGAAGCATCACCCGTAGTATTGTAGTTATATAGGGATTCGAATACCGCAAGGAAGGTTGAAAGTGACTTGCTCTACTACTACCTGTGGCCCCAAAAACCTGCCTTAAGGAGTATAGAAAGCACAACAATTATTGAACCCTAAAGTGGTAGGTTGTTTCGGCCACAGGTAGATTAAGGACTTTCGAGGTCGCTCTCTTCTTGTCAGGTGTGTGGTTGCCTGTAGCCCCCAGCGCTCCCTTAACATGCTAGGAAATGGGATCCAGAGGCTAGTTAGGGTCGAGGATTTCTAGCAGTGCTTTGGATCCAGAAATATCCACGCATGATACTGCTCTAATCCCTAAAACCCGAAAGCGCAGCAACTCCTTGCGCTGATATGGTAGTAAGACGTACACATAGTTGTTGAAGTAACCCAATCTTGTGGCTAAGGTGTGCCGGTAATGTTGTTGGGATTGGGTTTTTGGACTTGGGATTTAGGCTTTAGGGTTTTAGGTTAGGGCTAGACCTGGGAAGATCGGGCTGTTGGCAAGTGCGCAGACACTTAGCTGCGGACATCTTGAGACGCACGCTACCTCTAAACATCGTAGACCCTATCATACAACCATCATGAAACCTGGATACCCCCAAGATCGTGTGTGTGTATATATATATATACACATGTCTATATGTATATATGATATATGAATGTATATGTGTATGTATAAATAAACATATATATACATATATATATATACCCTAACCATCGTCCGCTGGAAAA